TCAGTATGCGAACTGCTTAATCGACTAATTGTTTGACTGCTACAGTATACAAGTACATTTTCTCCCTAAGTGTTGCGTGCGTGTGAACATAAGGCACTTAAAAGATATAAATCTGTTTGTGCACTTGGTGTTTTAGGCAATCCTGTTATCAATGGTTCACTTTTTATCACTTCAGATCTGACAAATTGAGGTCACTCACGCGTCCCTCGCACAGTAAACCGTGTTATCACGTGACTGAAATGCCAGCTTGGGTTATGTGATTTCTGGCAAACTGCTTGATCTTTATTTTAGGACCAGTGTCCTCTTCAGATGTCTGCATGTCATTGTCAGATGTGGCTACTGTGGTGGCTGAACTGGTCTTCAATGGATCCAGTTTAAAGGCATCCCAGCACACAAGCAGTGACCTAAAACCACACTCTGGTCACAGCTGGACTTCTGTGCATGGATGGCATTTAAGCACATCAGGGCTTCTCTGCAGAATCGTCTCTTTAGAGATATTCAGTGAGAACTGTTCATTTAAAAACAAAAACAAAAACTGGATGGAGCCACTGTGATGTCAGCTGGCGATGAAGCCTTGTGCTGAGCATTTTGGATGCTGCAATCTTGCCTTTTCGAAACCAGACATCATGAGTCTGGTGTGGATCTGAGTAGGAAACAGAGGAGCTCATACCGTAGTGATTTGTCAATCACAAGATGGTCCCACTGGATGGTTTTGCAAATTGAAGGAGGGCATAGACTTTGTATTTTTAACAGTATTTTCCTATGTAATGTTGAAACTACACTTCTTTGTTCTTATATTAAAATACATAAGGGACTCGATGCGTTGTTAAACTTCTTTACGCTGGAAGAATGGGAGTTTTACTGGTCCGGCACACATGCAGCCCACAGAGGTCAAAGTGGGCTGCATGTGTGACGTAATGTAAAATGAGTTTGACCTGGCTGGTCTGCCGTATTTGCTCAGGCTTGTTTTTAAAATGCTTCAACTGCAGAGGATGTAAAAATGTGAGGTTGTTATGGCGTCAGGTAATTTGAAAGTTTAGCAAAACTTCTGTAATTCGAGGCAGTTTTACAGACTCTCTTGTTTAACGCAGTCTACTGTCTGTTGTTTATAAGTGCTTATGAGCTGTGGTGGGCCTGCCTCCTACTTTCTCTCGCTCTCATCTCTCACATCATTTTAAGCTGGAGTAGATTAAACATGCAGCAAGAGTGCAAGTGAAGTTTAAACCTTATGAAGAGTTGAGAGCAGTTTCTGAGGCATGAGAGGAACGTACAGTTAATCAGTCATCTGTACGATTTCTGCTGATGTTCAGAGGGGGAGCTCAAGCAGTCCAACAACGTGTTTGGCTAAGATCAATGCTCAGACCTGCTTCCAGGGCCTTTACACACACAGGATCTACTGCAGCATGCTAGACACTGAAAGCTGGTCATGCTGATGTGATTTACATGCACAGCTTCAGGTCACAAGTTTTTGATTTGCTTTACCTTACTTATTTGTGCCTATCTGTTGTTACTCGGTCTGAAAATACTTGACAAGACATAAAGCTGTGAGAAATCTAAACACATCAGTAGGTGATTCTGTGTGTTTTCCCACTTTGCCCTCCATAAACAAGCCAGCTCAGTTGTCCCGTGGTTGGGATTAGCTCCACCTTCCCCTCTTGTGTCTCTTGACCCCGAGAGGTGACAAATATACTAAACTGACCAGCAATGGCAGCAGTTAATCTGAGCCTGTTTTTGTTTGGAAGTTGGGTGAGGGTGTTAGTTTGTCATGAATGGAAATGCAACATATAGAGTACAATAGAGAGCTAAATTAACGGCTTAAGCGCATGTAATAAGATGCTGGACAGGAGGTTTAGGTTGGGATAACTTGGCTGTAAATGCTTCCTTAGGTTTTAAATTGAGCGTTTTCATTTTCCACTCCCTCTTAGTCTGATGTATCCTCATCATAAAACTGACTTCTATTACTTCAATTATGATCATTGTTGGTAACTTATGCAGTATGGTCCCGTTTGTTTGCTAGGCCTAATTCTACTGAGAGAACTCCAACAGACTCTGTAGTGTCGTGACTGCTGTGAAATGAATACACTGTCACTCAATCTGGTTGAACCACTTATGTTGTCCTACAATGAACTGGAAGAAGGTTGTTTTTTTTTTTCTGTTTTTTTTTCTATCAAGTCAGCAGTTTGTACTCTGATAACATGAAGAGTTATTGTGCAGGTGTAGAAGCTAGTATTTACTACTCTGATAAACAGTTCCCAGGGTATACTGTCTTGTTTTGCATCTGTTTTGCTTTGAAAATTATGTACAAACAAAAAAAAATATTGTATAGGACGAGTGCTCGGGTGCTTTAAGGCCAATGTTTTTTTTTTTTCTTTGACTGAATGTGTTTGTAAGGAAAAGAAAAGTGAAGTGTACAAGACTGAAAATTAAAAAGAAAAGTTCTGCTGCTAGCTGTGAATTATTTATTTATTTGCATAAGCTCCATTTTTTTTCTTTTTTTTTTTTTACAAGAACTTTTCATCTTCTTGGTTAATTATGTCAGTTTGGTGCTGTAGCTCTCTCTCGTCTATCTGATAAACATCTCTGAACTTCACAAGAAGCCTCGTATCTTGTTCCTTCTTCCATCCCACATGCAAACATGTCTGCTTTATCAGCAAGGGAGATGCGATGCAAACGAGCTCCAGAGGAAGCAGGAGGAGAGCAGAGATAGGATATACCCACACAAAATGCCCTGTTATCGCTGACAGTCGCCTATTGTAGCGTGAGGACAGGCTAAAGTCTCCCCTGCCAATATGAATGAAGGAATGATGTCACCGGCACACATGCAATGCGGTAATTTAACTTGTGAAGATCAGAGGAAGGGCGGGGGGGGGGAGGAAGGTAGAGAGGACATGTTTTCTGTACCATTTTTATAAATTTGGGACTTTTAATTACACAGGCTATATAAAAACCAGTCCATTTACCGTTCTGTGAAGAGAACTAACAGAATAGGCAAAAATTCTCATAAACAAAGCTTAAATAATTAAAGGTACACAATTAAACTGCTAATGTGAAATAAGGATACTGTTAGGAAACACTTCCAGAACCTCGTAAGTAAGCTAGCAAATGCTAACACTGAGATTTATAATTGCGATTTATGTGTTGGCTAAAAATTTTTTATTCGATTTTATTTAATTTTTTTCTACAGAGTCCAATACAATATATTCAGACTTTTATCTGTAAGAGTTTTTGAGTGTAACTCATAGAATATGATACTATCAAGTCTACATGATTGTATCATATTGCTCTATTGTTATTGTTTCCCTCAGTAACAATGGTATCGCAGTGTAGCAAGACTCAAGTATGCATCATCGTCTACAACAAATCACAGCGTTTGTTCAAAAGAAGCAGAAATAAAATTCTCATTTAAAAAAAAAAAAGAAGCAAAAAGCAGAATGAAATATCTACTGGTTGCCCTGTGGAGTAGCTGAGTCCCATTATGTCATTTAAAGTAATTATAATATTTGTGTAAATCTAATGAATTAGCACCCCAATTTTGAATTGTTAATCGGGATCATTAAAAAATCATTTGTTTGCATGTTTTGATAAACATTTTAAGATATATTGAAGTTAGGTAAAGGATGACCGCATTCAGGTAAAGGATGACTTCATGCTTCATATCAGCAGCAGGAACTTATCTACCTCTGATGTAAAAAGCTTTTTCAA